TTAAGTGAAAGGTAATTCAAACCGGGCAGCTTTATTTGAAAGCATTTCTGACTTCATTCTTACCCTAAAAAGACGCTTAAAAAATAAACAGAGCTGCAATATGCATATGTCAAAATAGAGAAAGACATAAAATTGCCTAATAATATCTAATCTCGAATACTGGAACACAAATTGAAAAAGGCATGCGTACATGTAATGGATGTACACTCATCCCTTGCACGCAGATCAAAGAGAGGTAGCTCTCAATGACTCATACATACCGGACAGTTTAATGTTATAAAGAAACGTGCCATAGATGCGGCAGTGATGGCAAAGGAAGTGAGTCTTTCGGAAGCAGAAAGATTTAAGAGGAAAGTAGATCTTGCCATATCGCAAACTCTGATAGTACAGTTCCAACCCTCCCACGTTGCTCTTTCCCCATCCCTTTTTGCTTCTTGCATTTCCCGTCGCCGCCAGTGTTATGTGTGTACCTCCCCGCACAACTTACCTTGAAACGGGACTCCATTGAGCTCTCGAGAGTGACACAAGCACTTAACCAATCATATCGCGCGGCCTCGCCTGGGCGGCCTCAACAGAAACGTCTAGGCCAATCAGAGTCCTGGGGAGATGAGCAAGTTGCGTTGTGGCGCGACTCAGCGTATACTTCCGCGCGTGCTGCTCGGGATAGGAGCCTGGCAGAGCAGCTGCACACACGGCAGTGCGGAGGCAGAGAAGGGGTTGGTGATACGGTGCTATAAATCTGTGGTCCAGTCCACCTCCCTTTTAAGACGTCCTCCCCCCTTATTTCTGTTCTCAGTTAGAGATGCAGCAGCTTACTCCTGTAGCGACCTACTAAAAAGCAACAAGGAGAAAGACATCGTCTTTTTGAAAAAACGTTCTTTCGTCTCTTTTCTTTGTTCCTTCGTTTGTTTTTCTTGCCCCTTTTTTGTTTAGTTAAACGGCAATAGGAGGGTAGTCTCTCCGTCTTTTAAAACTCTTTTTTAAGTTTCCCCTCCCCTTTCGTATTTTTTTTTCGCCGTTTCTTTTAGCGTTGGACTTTGGGGTCGAAAGCATTTCTTTTTATTTGCTTCTTTTAAGCCGAGCACAGTTTAGGTTTCGTGCTGTCTTAAGAGAACTATCCAGCAGCTTCTTGCTCATCCTTATTGGGAGAACTGCACCGTTACTTTAAAAACACACATACACAAAAACCTTAAGGGAGAAAGGTAAGTTTCGGTTTGGTTTCTTTAATCATTAGTTGCAGCGATGCGCTGGCAAACCCAGAAAACCTGTAAGTGAGCGGAATACAGAATACGAAGTTAATTGCACATGTTTGTCTCATTTCAAAGCTACTGCTCTGCTTTTTAATTCTAGAGAGCTAGACTAAAAGACCGTGGACGCATGCTTGACGTACTGAATATTCTCAAATGTCAATGGCAGAAACTTGTGGTAAATGTAACTAGTGTAGAGCAAGGGTACAATGGGAGTCTAGATGTTGAGTGAGCTTCGGGATTTAGATTGGAAGTTCATTTCGTGGGAAGAGAGAGATAAGTTGGGGGGGGGGGATGAAATGCATGCCTCTACTTTCGCAAAGCAACGGAAGGACCGGAGAGGCTTTAGTACCATTAACTGGAATCAGAAGCCTGGACTCGTAGATTAGAACAGCGAAAACCCCAGACTTAATTGCATTAACTAGATAACATGTGCTGGGAAGATGGGATTGCCAGATGGAATTTAGATGCTGCACGAGGCAGCGAGTTGTAGTTGACTGGAAAAAGTACATGCCGCCTGAGGGCTGGGGCTGGGCTGGGGCTGGGGTGGGTAGAAGCTGTCAAAACTCATCATTGCGAGGTGTGCGGGCTCCAATTCACTACCGCCAATTATCGTGGTTCTGTTTTAAAAGAAGATAGCCAATTTAGGGCCGAATTCTTAAGCCTGTACCGGATATGAGATTCCCTTTGTTCAGAAAAGCGTAAATAAGATCCTTGGAGCTGTGTCTGTGGAGGGGCGGCTGCCTGGGAGCCTCGCTACGCTGGGCGCTGGCAAGTGGATTCCAAGCTCTGTCCTTGGTCCTACGCGTCTGACTTCGCCTTCTGGGCGAGGGGGAATCCTTCGCAGCCGTGAGGCTTCGCAGCCACCCCAGTAGCCAACTCGGCTACGTAGTCCTCATCCCCTTCCTTGCCGCCCTACCCCCCACCCCTTTTCTCGAATAGCTATTGTTAAACTGACGCCTGGAGAAAGATGGTTGGGGATGAGACGCTGGGCAGACACTTGCTTCATTTTAACTTTTGTGATTTCTCAAGGCTTAGAAGAAACCAGCTGGCTTTCTACTGCGAAAAAGAGAATCTAGGGTAGATGTGGGAAAGGGGGAGGATATTCTTGGGGTGACGAAGGGTGGAGGCGGTGGTGGTGGCGGTGAACGAGGTGCTGCCTTTGCCTAATAGAAGTTTAAATCATTGGCACGAGAGGGTGTGGGTGAGTGTGTGCGTGAGAGCGCCCGTGTAGTGCTTGAGAGAGAAAGGATGGGGAAAAGGTACAAAGCCGGCTGGGGTTAATTTCTCTTTGCTTCCACCCCACCCACCCTCTGGGTTCGAAAAAGCCAACGCGCGGCCGGCCTCCTCCGGACTCGACTCTGTCATCTCAGGGGCGGTGGGGGCTGGGGATGGCAAGTGGCAGTGCCCACCACGGGAGCTCAGCGGCGAACAGGACTTTGCATGGCCATTGTTGCTTAATTTATGCCCAGCACGTTGCCACGTACCCACCTATTGCACGTCTGTGAAGAATTAATATGAGAGGTATACAACTGAGGCAAATTGGAGGTTGGATACATTCCCCGTTTTCCATTTTCAAGTACGGGTTCGCAAAACTGATGTCGAGACTGGGTATTTTCTCACGTAATTACTAGCTGCAGATCTGGCTTTACTGTGGCCAGAGTGAGAGAAATAGTCAACCATTTAGTATTTACTCTTAACACTGCTGGGCCGGAATGGATGTCTCTGCACTTTCTCCCCGAAATACCTGGGTTCTCTCCCCTCCCCTTTTCATGTACAAACACTCTTCAGCCCTTCCCACATCCCTGTTTATTGTACCCATCCTCTAGGAGGGAGATGGAGGTGATTTATTGCTTAGGCCTATACTGCAACCTATAAATTAAGGCTTAAAATGGGGCGGGGTGGGGGGGCGGAATACAGAGCAGACAATGGTAAGTTAAGAGATTATTTCCCTAATTGGAAAGCAATTCCTAAAGATCAGGGAAAAAGGTGTGAGTGTCTTGGGAATGGAAAGGTAGGAAATCTGTTTGTGCCCCATAAAATTTCCTTGGTAAAATGGCTTCTTAAAATGGGACACCTGAAAAATTTTTTAGAATTTGAACAAGTAAGTCTGCAAAATAGAAAATGTTGAATGTTTAAAAGTTGCCTTTTGGGTGATTAAAAAAATAACTCAGTTATCCCTGGGTCTGTCCTTCAGCAGGCACTACTGGGTTCCCCTTTTTTAACCAAGTGCTTGAGCACCTCACTTTAAAACTTATCCCTGTTCTGGAGTTCCCCAAGAAAAAGCAATGTTTGCGAGTAGAAGTGGTTTGGGAGACTTGTGGAACTCTGTTGAGAGAGGTCTCCCTTAAGTTGAAGAAGTCAGTTTCAGGAAGTAGGGCGTAGGGCATTCTAAGAGTTTTAGGCTTGGATCAGCACATTTGGTAGGCCCAGTTTTGCCTAACGTTTGGCGACAGGAATTCTTAGGAATCCCACCTGCCTGGGATGGGAATGTTATAATTAACTATTTAGAAGGTTGAAGAGGCGCAGGCGCTTTGAGCCGTTTTCCCAGAAACCCATACAAAGTCAATTAAGGTCGTTTAATTGCAAATCATATTTGAGGTGATAGCAGAAACGCTAATAAAGAATCAAGTAGCTGATTTTGGTGTCCCTAGTCTGGGTCCCCCAAATTGAGAGGTGGACTATCTCCATTTCTATCGTGGTTAAGCCCCCTACTTTACTATGCCGGATTTGACTTGGCCCAAGAGGGCAATTTTGTCTCTCCTGCCTAACCTCCATCCCAGCACTGGGTTAGAGGTGTCCTTCCCAGCACTGGGTTGGAGGTGTCCTTCCCTCCAGGTCCCCCAGCCCCGCCCGTCGTGTGGGGGCGGGGAGCATTGGGCGCCCTTAGCGGACCTTGCTGCATCAAACCCGCATCATGCCCTTGAAGCTGTAACCTCGGTCACGTTCTTGCGGCGACTCAGTCGCCCACTGCTCAGTTCCTTTCCTTTACCTCTTGCGATTTCAGGTAGGTTTGACAGGTGATATTTTTAAATGCAGTTTTTTAGGGGTAAGAGTTAAAACGGAAGCCTTTGCAATGGGAAAAAAACCCCCAACACGACAGGTGCTCTCATAATTAAGCTTACGGGCAGGTGTAAAAACGTGCTCCCGCCGCATGGCTCAGGGTCAGTTTTGACTGCCAGTCTTGGGTTTGGGTCTGAAGACAGGCACAGGTTTTTCTGGGGAAAAGCGATTGAGCTGGGCGTGGGGGCGGGCCAAAGCAAGGCAGCCATGGGACGCCCCCTCTGTGAATAGTTGGCCATTTCGGGGCTTCTGTGGGGGGCGTTGGAAGGATGCGGCGAGCGGCAGGCGCTTATCTAGTCGAGTACAGGATTTCCTACTTTGCGTCTGAAGCAGAGTATAGCACCTCGCACAGGTACTCAGGGCTTATTTAAACGCCAGATTCCCTCTAGAAAGGTACAGAGGGGCATCGGGGGCAAGCTTTTAGTTTTCCGCAGAGAGACTGGACTCTTAAGCTGTGAAGTGGGGAAAAAGCCTTTTAACTCTGCTTGCAATATATGTACGTATATATATATCAAAGTAACCCCCGAGCGAATCGCTCTGGCTGCCCGTTAGCGCTCGAGCCTCGGGGTTTGCAAACGTGCAGCTGGAATCTGCCGCCTCTGGGCGCCTGAAGCTCCCCGCGCCGCCAGGGGAACCTGGTCAGGGAGCCTGCTCGGAATCGGAAGTCGAGAGGGAAGGAGCCGTGCGGCCGCAGTCGGGCGTCTGCTCCCAGGCCCCGACCCTCGGGGCGGCTGGGCTGGGCACGCGCCGGCGGCAGAAGCCGCGGCGCCGCGAACTCGCCGTCGGCCCCGCCTCCTGGCGCTCTTCCAAGCAAGCCCCTCCTCCCCGCCCCGCTACAAACGGCGGGACCGCGGAGCCCGAGCGTCACTGAGGCAGCTGCCGGCCGGGTGAGGAGGCCGGTCGCCGGCGCGACGCGGGTGGGGCGGGGGTTCCGCCGGGTGCCAGTCCGCCTTCCCGCCACCGCCAGCACTGGGGACACCACTGCCTCTCCGCGGAGCCTGCCCGGAGCGACTCTCCGCGGCTGTGCTGACGGCCGGCGGCGCGAGCCGTAGTAGCTGCAGCTCCGAGTCGTAGCAGGCAAGTGCGGGGAGCGTGGGGCGTGGGGCGGGGGCGGGCACGCCTCGCCCGGCCGCGAGTCTGTTCTGGACGCTAAGGCTCAGGGTTGTGCGCGCCGCCGCGGCGCTGTGCTGCGGAGCCCGGCGTTGGCTCAGCGGGAGCTCTCCTCCGGGCTCAGGGCGGGAACGCCAGTGGGGGCGGCGGAGGTTGTGCACGGGAAGTTCCTAGAGCTCGGCCCCTGGCGGCGGGAGTCGAGGGAATTGGGTGCCTCGGGAGGTGGCACCGCCCCTCCTGTGGGCACAAGCTGGTTGGGGGCGGCGGGAGCCGAGCCGGGCCAGTGGCGCCAGGCAGCGTGCACAGGCGTGGACGTGCCCGGGGACGGCCGCGTGTAGCGCGAGAAGAACTGCGCCGAGACGCAGGTGAGTGTACTGGAGCGAAAGTGGGGGAAGGGGCTTTTCTAGGAAAAGGGCAGGATTCCCTGTGTTGGATTGGCACCCCCGCCTTGTGGGAGACTGTGTGTTCACTGGTTTCTCCAGCCAGGTGGTGTTTGGTGGCTTGTCCACTTGGTACGGCGCCTCGCGCGTGGTCCTTGGCGCTCCCAGGGCGTCTAGAGACTTGTAGCGGCCACGCGGTGTGCGGAGGTGGTTTTGGGATCCTGGCGCCCGGAGGCAGAGTAGAGAGGATCCCCGGACCACCCTCCCCCCTTGCGCCACGTTAGGTTTGGTTGGGCGTAGTCGCTCGAGGTCGCATCCCGGGTTTGTGCGCGAGCAGTGCGCTGGGCGGGAACCGCGGGGCGGGGCGGGCGGCC